TTTAGGTGGAGGAACAAAACTTTGAAATCTCTTCAGCTTGTGTTAGCCACAGACCTGATCTCAGGATGAATGCTAAAACCTTTCCGGGTGTTCAGACTCATTCCTGCAGCTCCTTACAGCCGATACACCTTACCGGATAATGGTGAGTGAATCAGCCGTTCCTTGGACAGGGATAAACATCCAGATATCCAAATAACTCATTTTAACATTTAAAATACTAGCTTCATATTCAGGCGTTGTAACATGGACCAGTAGACCTTCTGGATCTTCTGGTAACACCTCACTTTGCTGAGCAAACAGAGCTGAGCAAACTTGACTTACCCTGAACAGCTTTACTATGTTTCGCCTCAAAGCACAATCAATATCCTTTACAGTGGATGAGTGGCGCACGGTTCTGTAGATAATACAACATTAAACATCTCGAAAACTGAACTCACGAGCAGCAAGGAACCACCGTTTAATAAGATCAGTGAGCAACAGCTCCAGGACAGGTGAGGCCTGGAAGTAATGCTTACAAATCCATTAGCTATAGCATTGTGAGCTAGCTAAATTAAATGTTGAGTATCAAAAAATATCGAAAATACTTATAATTACATCTCTATCTTAACTTGTGATGATCTGACTGTACTGGGATGTAGATACCTGGTGATATGTGGAGAGGAACAGGTGTTACTTGTGGAGCTGGGATGGCAGTTTGTTGGCTTCTTCTCTTGGTCGTTGGAGGAACCACTGGTTACAGAGCGCAGCGGAGAACGGCCGTTTGCTGTGTCTCAATCTGCCCTCATCGTTTATACACTGGCTGTTCTGAATGCATCTAGCACTGGGATGGTTTGAATGCATCTAGCACTGGGATGGTTTGAATGCATCTAACACTGGGATGGTCTGAATGCATCTAACACTGGGATGTTCTGAATGCATCTAACACTGGGATGGTTTGAATGCATCTAGCACTGGGATGGTCTGAATGCATCTAACACTGGGATGGTTTGAATGCATCTAACACTGGGATGGTTTGAATGCATCTAGCACTGGGCTGTTCTGAATGCATCTAGCACTGGGCTGTTCTGAATGCATCTAGCACTGGGCTGTTCTGAATGCATCTAACACTGGGCTGTTCTGAATGCATCTAGCACTGGGATGTTCTGAATGCATCTAGCACTGGGATGGTTTGAATGCATCTAACACTGGGATGGTCTGAATGCATCTAGCACTGGGATGGTCTGAATGCATCTAGCACTGGGATGGTTTGAATGCATCTAGCACTGGGATGGTCTGAATGCATCTAGCACTGGGATGGTTTGAATGCATCTAACACTGGGATGGTCTGAATGCATCTAGCACTGGGATGGTTTGAATGCATCTAACACTGGGATGGTCTGAATGCATCTAGCACTGGGATGGTTTGAATGCATCTAACACTGGGATGGTTTGAATGCATCTAACACTGGGATGGTCTGAATGCATCTAGCACTGGGATGGTTTGAATGCATCTAACACTGGGATGGTCTGAATGCATCTAACACTGGGATGGTTTGAATGCATCTAACACTGGGATGGTCTGAATGCATCTAGCACTGGGATGGTTTGAATGCATCTAACACTGGGATGGTCTGAATGCATCTAACACTGGGATGGTCTGAATGCATCTAGCACTGGGATGGTTTGAATGCATCTAACACTGGGATGGTCTGAATGCATCTAACACTGGGATGGTTTGAATGCATCTAACACTGGGCTGTTCTGAATGCATCTAGCACTGGGATGGTCTGAATGCATCTAACACTGGGATGGTTTGAATGCATCTAACACTGGGATGGTTTGAATGCATCTAGCACTGGGATGGTTTGAATGCATCTAGCACTGGGATGGTCTGAATGCATCTAGCACTGGGATGGTCTGAATGCATCTAACACTGGGATGGTTTGAATGCATCTAACACTGGGCTGTTCTGAATGCATCTAGCACTGGGATGTTCTGAATGCATCTAACACTGGGATGGTTTGAATGCATCTAGCACTGGGATGTTCTGAATGCATCTAGCACTGGGATGTTCTGAATGCATCTAACACTGGGATGGTCTGAATGCATCTAGCACTGGGATGTTCTGAATGCATCTAACACTGGGATGGTCTGAATGCATCTAGCACTGGGATGGTCTGAATGCATCTAACACTGGGATGGTTTGAATGCATCTAACACTGGGATGGTTTGAATGCATCTAACACTGGGATGGTTTGAATGCATCTAGCACTGGGATGGTTTGAATGCATCTAGCACTGGGATGGTTTGAATGCATCTAGCACTGGGATGGTTTGAATGCATCTAGCACTGGGATGGTTTGAATGCATCTAACACTGGGATGTTCTGAATGCATCTAGCACTGGGATGGTTTGAATGCATCTAACACTGGGATGGTTTGAATGCATCTAGCACTGGGATGGTCTGAATGCATCTAGCACTGGGATGGTCTGAATGCATCTAGCACTGGGATGGTCTGAATGCATCTAACACTGGGATGGTTTGAATGCATCTAACACTGGGATGGTCTGAATGCATCTAGCACTGGGATGGTTTGAATGCATCTAACACTGGGATGGTTTGAATGCATCTAGCACTGGGATGGTTTGAATGCATCTAGCACTGGGATGGTTTGAATGCATCTAACACTGGGATGGTTTGAATGCATCTAGCACTGGGATGGTTTGAATGCATCTAACACTGGGATGGTTTGAATGCATCTAACACTGGGATGGTTTGAATGCATCTAGCACTGGGATGGTTTGAATGCATCTAACACTGGGATGGTTTGAATGCATCTAGCACTGGGATGGTCTGAATGCATCTAGCACTGGGATGGTCTGAATGCATCTAGCACTGGGATGTTCTGAATGCATCTAGCACTGGGATGGTCTGAATGCATCTAACACTGGGATGGTTTGAATGCATCTAACACTGGGATGGTTTGAATGCATCTAACACTGGGATGGTCTGAATGCATCTAGCACTGGGATGGTTTGAATGCATCTAACACTGGGATGGTTTGAATGCATCTAGCACTGGGATGGTTTGAATGCATCTAACACTGGGATGGTTTGAATGCATCTAGCACTGGGATGGTTTGAATGCATCTAGCACTGGGATGGTTTGAATGCATCTAGCACTGGGATGGTTTGAATGCATCTAGCACTGGGATGGTTTGAATGCATCTAACACTGGGATGGTTTGAATGCATCTAGCACTGGGATGGTTTGAATGCATCTAGCACTGGGATGGTTTGAATGCATCTAACACTGGGATGGTTTGAATGCATCTAACACTGGGATGGTTTGAATGCATCTAGCACTGGGATGGTTTGAATGTATCTAGCACTGGGATGGTTTGAATGCATCTAGCACTGGGATGGTTTGCAGGTTCCTTTGAGAACCCCCACGGTGCTCAACGGACGCCAGCTTGACTTAACTCTGGATTCAGCTTTTAGCACATTTACCGTCTTCTCTGAAATCTGTGAATCATCCCACGTTTGGACCCTCTGGACCCTGAGGCTGTGATTGGTCAACTGCTTACAGAGGTCCCGCCCCTTAGCCTATCAAGTACAATGTGTTGGAGCGCTAGCCAATAGGAGCGCGAGACATTTGTCGTTAATAACTATTTCATTTGGCTTTTAGCATGTTACAACTTCTACACCCTACACCCTATCTTAAACTGCACTGTAACTTTTAACTTTTATCCATGTATTTTTTCTTTTAATGTTTATTTTATTATCTTTCCTTTTTAATGACTGATTTTAAATGCCATTTTTAAAATGTCTTCCATTTTTGTAAAGCACTTTGAATTACCTTGTGTTGAAAGGTGCTATATAAATAAACTTGCCTTGCCTTGCCTTGCCTTGCCTAATGATTATCCGCTGATTTACAGACGTCTCTTTCCCCGATGTAAGTCAATGGGGCTCGTTTGTCCACTACCAAAATGTGCATCAACGTCTGGCTCACTTCCTGTGGGCTTGAGGGACCAGCAGCTAACTATAGCAGCAGACACTACCTACAGTAACTGCTCAATGCCAAGTGGGATTCAAGACATAGCCATATGCAAGTAGGCACATAGTGTAAAGTAAACGGTAGTTATCAGAACTGAAACACAGCAATTGTTTTTCTCTGCTACCGCGTTGGTCTTCTCTCGCGCCACATCCTGCGTTCTTGCGGTTTTTATTTTATTAGCATCGCATGGCGTGGATATGTGTTCCCTTACGTCACATTCGGCCCAGGCAGCAAATCAAACACTTCCTTCCTGTTTGGATGCAGGCAGATTTGGTAGAGCTTCAGAATCCAGACTGATATCGGGGCGCCAGTTGCTCAGTACGGGGGGACTTGACTTAAGGACTAGAGTTTCCGAACGGACCTTTCACCAACACGCCTGGTAACGGTCCCTACAAGGTCTAGGTAACTTAGACGGGGTTGAGGCTCCGTGTAGCGGCACTAAGCGTGGAGCTCTCTTACTACGTCATAAGTCTTCTGGTGGTGCTACAGGGAGAGCACGGGAGATGCTAGGAAAAATTGACACAAGAAAAGCAATTTCCAAGAAAAGATCTGTAATTGACTTCTATCAAAAAGACTAAAGGAAATGCTAAATCCCTCGCTACCTCGGGGGAGTCTACGGTACCAGAAAGACAAGCCGGACTGAGGAGCAAACATCGCATTAGACCTGTCTCTAACACAGGGGTAAACTAAGACTTGCTAATCTTATGTACACTTTAATTAGATCCAGGTTAGCTTAAAAACATTTAACTCCAATAACTCTGCGTTTCTGACCAAAGCCTGGCTAACTGGAGAAAGACATTGACCTGCTCAGAGTACCTGCTTATCTTCTGTCTGCATGCAGCTAGGAACTTGAATATGCATTGGTAAAAGAAAAACTAGAACACCGAGACCGCTGAACCCGTCCTGGGACTCAATGGTGTCTGATTCAGATTAAAGGTGCAATTGAACAGGACATATTACCTGGGGCGAGCCGCTGTCCTCTGCACTCTTTCTTGTGGGCGATCCAGTCCTTGTAGTGCTGATCCCGCTTCTCCAAAACCCTCTTGTTATACGAATCCAGCTGCAACACAAACAAACAACTTTTAGAGTGGTAGCTTATGTCGCGGAAACACGGTTGTCTTGCATAATTTTGAAGGTTTCTATATTTAAAAAAAGTCTAACTCTGAGACGACTAACTCTGAGACAGACTAACTCTGAGACAGACTAACTCAGAGACAGACTAACTCAGAGACAGACTAACTCTGAGACAGACTAACTCAGAGACAGACTAACTCAGAGACAGACTAACTCAGAGACAGACTAACTCAGAGACAGACTAACTCTGAGACAGACTAACTCTGAGACAGACTAACTCAGAGACAGACTAACTCAGAGACAGACTAACTCAGAGACAGACTAACTCAGAGACAGACTAACTCAGAGACAGACTAACTCTGAGACAGACTAACTCTGAGACAGACTAACTCTGAGACAGACTAACTCTGAGACAGACTAACTCAGAGACAGACTAACTCTGAGACAGACTAACTCTGAGACAGACTAACTCTGAGACAGACTAACTCTGAGACAGACTAACTCTGAGACAGACTAACTCAGAGACAGACTAACTCAGAGACAGACTAACTCAGAGACAGACTAACTCTGAGACAGACTAACTCTGAGACAGACTAACTCTGAGACAGACTAACTCTGAGACGACTACTCTGAGACAGACTAACTCTGAGACAGACTAACTCTGAGACAGACTAACTCTGAGACAGACTAACTCTGAGACAGACTAACTCTGAGACGACTAACTCTGAGACAGACTAACTCTGAGACAGACTAACTCTGAGACAGACTAACTCTGAGACAGACTAACTCTGAGACGACTAACTCTGAGACGACTAACTCTGAGACAGACTAACTCTGAGACAGACTAACTCTGAGACGACTAACCCTGAGACAGACTAACCCTGAGACAGACTAACTCTGAGACAGACTAACTCTGAGACAGACTAACTCTGAGACAGACTAACTCTGAGACAGACTAACTCTGAGACGACTAACTCTGAGACGACTAACTCTGAGACAGACTAACTCTGAGACGACTAACTCTGAGACAGACTAACTCTGAGACAGACTAACTCTGAGACAGACTAACTCTGAGACAGACTAACTCTGAGACAGACTAACTCTGAGACGACTAACTCTGAGACAGACTAACTCTGAGACAGACTAACTCTGAGACAGACTAGCTCTGAGACGACTAACTCTGAGACAGACTAACCCTGAGACAGACTAACTCTGAGACAGACTAACTCTGAGACAGACTAACTCAGAGACAGACTAACTCTGAGACAGACTAACTCTGAGACAGACTAACTCTGAGACAGACTAACTCTGAGACAGACTAACTCTGAGACAGTCTAACTCTGAGACGACTAACTCTGAGACAGACTAACTCTGAGACAGACTAACTCTGAGACAGACTAACTCTGAGACAGACTAACTCTGAGACAGACTAACTCTGAGACGACTAACTCTGAGACAGACTAACTCTGAGACAGACTAACTCTGAGACAGACTAGCTCTGAGACGACTAACTCTGAGACAGACTAACCCTGAGACAGACTAACTCTGAGACAGACTAACTCTGAGACAGACTAACTCTGAGACAGACTAACCCTGAGACAGACTAACTCTGAGACAGACTAACTCTGAGACAGACTAACTCTGAGACAGACTAACTCTGAGACAGACTAACTCTGAGACAGACTAACTCTGAGACAGACTAACTCTGAGACAGACTAACTCTGAGACAGACTAACTCTGAGACAGACTAACTCTGAGACAGACTAACTCTGAGACAGACTAACTCTGAGACAGACTAACTCAGAGACAGACTAACTCAGAGACAGACTAGTCTAGCACTTTGGTAAAAATGAAATGATGAGGTCTTTATAAAGCTTTCTTTAATAATTGTTTTCAAGCTAAATAATAAACAGAGGTTTTCTGTCCGGTACATTTAAATCTTACCGGTCACTTGGACCACTGGCCGTACCATGGCACAATATGACTGTCCTACAGTAGGAACCATACCTTCTCCTTCTGCTTGTTCTTTATGTCGTCCTCCGTGGAGGTCTGAGAGCTGGACGGAGACGAGGAAGCGCTCGGCAAACTAAACTGCACGGATTTGACCGGCTTGGCTGGCTGCTGCACGGCCAGAGATTTCACCGTCTCTATGACCTTCAGGCACCGGGCCACCGTGGTAGAGATGGTGGACTGGTTAGGGTCAGCAGGACTGGACGTTGGTGCTGATTCTATAGCGGCGGTGGGGGGCGGCACAGAACCAGGGGAGATAAGGGGGGGGTCTGAGGGAGGCTGGCCAATAAAGGGAAAGACTGGAGTACCAGGGGGTGGAGCGAATGGAGGTTGTCCGAGAGGGCGCCGTGGTGGAGGTCCAGGAGGCGGTCCTGGAGGAGGATGTGCCGGATGCCGTGGAGGAGGTCCAGAGGGAAGCCTGAATGACTGGATGCCAGCTGCAGGAGGAGATGGAGTTCCCATGCTGGGGGGGGGTGAAGCTCTGTGGGGGAAACTGGGTGATAATCCCAAGGGGCCAGTTGACTGGTACGGGGGGGCGTTGGAAGTGGGTCGGCGGAGGCCCGGTAGGGGGAGTGGGGGAGTTGTTGTTCCCCATGGTCTTGGTAAGACTCTGCAGCTGCTGGGCCTTCTGAAGAGCCTCCAGCTCCTTCTGGTCCAGGAACCCTTCGTACTCCGAGACAGCTCTGGATTGGATGCGAGGCTGCAGACTGGAGGACCTGGCTGGGGAGGGGGAGTGAATGTGATCCGATTCAATGGAACCTGTTCTACTCGGCTGCCGTTCCTCCCTCGGGGACGACAGCATATCTCTTTCTGTGGACGAGGACTTGGGGCTGTAGATCTTCTCCTGGGCTCGGCTGGCCAGTTTGGACATGTCTCCGGTGCTCAGCTTCAGTCCGATCGAACGCAGCAGACTCTGGATCTTGTCGTAGGGTTCTGCAGTGTTCTTCGCTTCCTCACTTGTTCTCTCTAATGAGGAGCGTTTTGGATTTGTCTTCTTCTGATCCAGAACTATACTGCTGCCAGGTTGCTCTTGAGCAAGTCCTACGATCCGAGAGAAACCCCCGCCGTCCTGAAGCGCCCTCTCATGAGGCAGCAGGTCATCGGTCAAAGGAACCGGTTCTGGTTGCTTCACAACATCCACTTTCTTATTGAGCATGTCGAGGAATCGGTCCAGCGGCTGCTGGGCCGCGGGGGGTCCCGGACGTGGTCTTGGGGAGGGGCTTCTGGGAGGCGGAACTGAGGGAGAAGGAGGTCTGTAAGGGTGTTGGGAAGAAGAAGTGGCAGGGGTTTGCGTCAAGGGAGGCTGGGTGGAGGCAGCAGGAAGGTGTCCGTACTGAGTACCAGGTGAGGGATCTCGGCGTTCTGGAGACTGGCTCCGGTACGGATCCTCGTACCGCCGCTCTGCGTAGGCCGGGTCGTAGTAGCGGTCTCCGTGGGGTTCGTCGTAAACATCGTAGCGGTCGGTGTAGCGTGGGCCGGCAGACGGAGGGCCAGCATAGGCCGGTTCGCCATAGACTCGAGGGGGGTCACTGTTGGGACGATCGGCGTACGGGCGTTCGGGGTAGGAACCTGCAGGGTAGGGTTCCCCGTAGCGATAAGCGCTGTACTGCCGGTCGTAGTACGGGTCGTCATATGGGTGAGGAGCACGGAGTGGGTACTCGGGCCCCTCTCCTCGTCTCTTCAGGATGGACCGGACCGGTTTGTACTCTGAGAGCGGGACGGAGATCCTGCCGTGGTCGTAGTCTATGCAGGTCCTCTGTCCGGGGTCCAGGTCCACCAGAGACTTCTTGTAGGCGATCATGTCGTTCAGCTCATCCAGCTCTCGCTTCTTCCTCGCCAGCTCGTCGTCCACCACTCCTCCTCGTCGGGGGGGAGGACTCGGCTCCCTCCTCCTCTTCAGACCTTCATCTCTGCTGGTGATGCTCCTCTTCTTCGCCTCCTCGACCCTTTCCCGGCTCCTGCTCCGGCTCTTGGAGCGCCGTTTGGATCGATCCGGGCTCCGGCTTTTCCTCGACCGGCTGCCTCTACGTTCGGCGCTGGTGCTGCGTCTCTTTTTGATGAGCCGTCCGAACTGGTCTCTGGGCGGACTCTTGCTTTTACTCCTGCTCTTAGCCCTACTCCTAACCGGACTCCTGCTTCTGGCCCGACTCTTACCGGGACTCCTGCTTTTACTCCTGCTCCTAGCCCTACTCCTAGCTGGACTCTTGGCCCGACTCCTGCTCGGACTCCTGCTTTTACTCCTGCTTCTAGCCCGACTCCTGCTTGGACTCCTGCTTTTACTCCTGCTCCTGCCGTATCTGCGCCGCGAGGCACCGTAGTCCTTACTGGTCTTGCTGTCCTGCGTTCGGAGATTTTTCACCACCGCTTTCATCTTGTCCGTCTCTGGTTTGTCTTTCCTGAAATATCGGAGGCGAGTTACAGACAGATGTGTATTCCTGTACATCTCATATACTAAATATGTGTTAGCAGTAATTAACCTCCTTCAATGAGATGATGCTTTTGTCTGTCAGCAGGATTACAGGATGAACTTCATGAAATGTAGTATTATGGTGTAGCGTGGGCTAAAGAACCCAATCAGGTTTTAAGAAGATCAAAATCAGCCCCAGTTTTAATTTAAAAAGCAAAAACTCTGGAAACATCAACATAGCCGTTTTCTACTGGCATCTCTAATCAGCGTATTTTTCCAACACAATATGAGATGTCAGTACTCACTCAGCGTCTTCTGAAGCTTTGGCCAGCTTGATGGTCATCTACAGAATATTAGACATCAGTTTAGAAACACCATCAACACATGCTTCCCATTGGTTACACAGACACAGTTTTAGTTACATAACAAAGTAAATAACCAGATGTATGCTGTACTTTAAATCAGTTTGTGCTACGTGGGAGTTCTGTAGGAGTCTAGAAAGACGGGAGGAATGGATGAAGTACATCAACAGAAGAGTTAGCTGTATTCCCCTCATACACCGTAAAGTAACCTACGGACCGTCCTCTGAGGGGATCCTCACACCGTAACGTACGGATCATACTCTGAGGGGATCCTCACACCGTAACGTACGGATCATACTCTGAGGGGATCCTCACACCGTAACGTACGGATCATACTCTGAGGGGATCCTCACCTTTCCCTTCGCTACGCCGATGGCGCACAGCTTCCGGGCCGGGAGGAAAACCTTCTCGGTGAAGCGTTTGATCCGGATGGCCTGGTTCCCCCCCTCCGCCGTGTCATGCTTTGGGAACAGAAACAGACAGGATTTAACAGGAGATGTTTGAGAGAGGTAAACAGGGTTCAGCTTCAGAGAGAGATCAGTAGGAACTGAAGGAGGCGACTCACCGGGACCACGCTGAACTCCACCTTCTCGTTGAGCTCCAGCCGCTTCTTCTCGATCACCTCGCACATGTGGAAGTAGAGCTGAGGATTCTGGGAGCATTTGATGAGGCCGGTGGACAGAGAGAGCTCGATGACGAGGCCCTGCAGAAAGAGGGGGGGGAGGGTCAATATCTCAGCTGGGACTCAGTGGGTAAAGGGACGGATACCAGCGCCTGTTACCTTCACCTGTACAGCCAGTAACCTGTGCACTGATCACGTTCTAAACATGGTGCGTCACCTGTCCGCTGCTTATATCTATAGATATATAGACATATATATAAAAGGTAGGAAGGCCTCACGTGTCTCCGCTGCTCCGTGGACTCCTCGAAGGAGTCGGGCAGGATCTCCACGTACGCCGCTCGCTGCTCTTTGGTCTCCTGGTGGGTGGCGATGTTGAAACGCACCTTCAGAGAAACAAACACGTCAACAACTCCAAAACACTCTGTAAATACAGACTAACACACTCTGTAAATACAGACTAACACACTCCTTCTCTACTGGAACACACATCCATTTTATTACAACTATTTTCATAATTTATTTTCATTCCTACTACTGTCTGCTTGATAAATGGCTAATGTTCACTAGCTAAATGGCTAATGTCTGCTTGATAAATGGCTAATGTTCACTAGCTAAATGGCTAATGTCTGCTTGATAAATGGCTAATGTTCACTAGCTAAATGGCTAATGTCTGCTTGATAAATGGCTAATGTTCACTAGCTAAATGGCTAATGTCTGCTTGATAAATGGCTAATGTCGCTAGCTAAATGGCTAATGTTTGACAGCTAAATTGGCTAATGTCTGCTAGCTAAATGGCTAATGTTTGACAGCTAAATTGGCTAATGTCTGCTAGCTAAATGGCTAATGTTTGCTAGCTAAATGGCTAATGTCTGCTTGATAAATGGCTAATGTCGCTAGCTAAATGGCTAATGTTTGACAGCTAAATTGGCTAATGTCTGCTAGCTAAATGGCTAATGTTTGACAGCTAAATTGGCTAATGTCTGCTAGCTAAATGGCTAATGTTTGCTAGCTAAATGGCTAATGTCTGCTTGATAAATGGCTAATGTTCACTAGCTAAATGGCTAATGTTTGCTAGCTAAATGGCTAATGTCTGCTTGCTAAATGGCTAATGTTTGCTAGCTAAATGGCTAATGTCTGCTTGATAAATGGCTAATGTCGCTAGCTAAATGGCTAATGTTTGACAGCTAAATTGGCTAATGTCTGCTAGCTAAATGGCTAATGTTTGCTAGCTAAATGGCTAATGTCTGCTTGATAAATGGCTAATGTTCACTAGCTAAATGGCCATAATCTGCTTGATAAATGGCTAATGTTCACTAGCTAAATGGCTAATGTCTGCTTGATAAATGGCTAATGTTCACTAGCTAAATGGCTAATGTCTGCTTGATAAATGGCTAATGTCGCTAGCTAAATGGCTAATGTTTGACAGCTAAATTGGCTAATATCTGCTAGCTAAATGGCTAATGTTTGCTAGCTAAATGGCTAATGTCTGCTTGATAAATGGCTAATGTTCACTAGCTAAATGGCTAATGTCTGCTTGATAAATGGCTAATGTTCACTAGCTAAATGGCTAATGTCTGCTTGATAAATGGCTAATGTTCACTAGCTAAATGGCTAATCTCGCTAGCTAAATGGCTAATGTTTGACAGCTAAATTGGCTAATGTCTGCTAGCTAAATGGCTAATGTTTGACAGCTAAATTGGCTAATGTCTGCTAGCTAAATGGCTAATGTTTGCTAGCTAAATGGCTAATGTCTGCTTGATAAATGGCTAATGTTCACTAGCTAAATGGCTAATGTCTGCTTGATAAATGGCTAATGTTCACTAGCTAAATGGCTAATGTCTGCTTGATAAATGGCTAATGTTCACTAGCTAAATGGCTAATGTCTGCTTGATAAATGGCTAATGTTTGACAGCTAAATTGGCTAATGTCTGCTAGCTAAATGGCTAATGTTTGACAGCTAAATTGGCTAATGTCTGCTAGCTAAATGGCTAATGTTTGCTAGCTAAATGGCTAATGTTTGCTAGCTAAATGGGTAATGTTGCTAGCTAAATGGCTAATGTTTGCTAGCTAAATGGCTAATGTTTGCTAGCTAAATGGCTAATGTTGCTAGCTAAATGGCTACTGTTTGCTAGCTAAATGGCTAATGTTTGCTAGCTAAATGGCTACCGTTTGCTAGCTAAATGGCTACTGTTTGCTAGTTACACCTCACCCTGAAGGGGAACACAGGTAGCTCCTCCCCCTCTCACCTTGTCTCCGTCCAGCATGGTGGCCGTGCTGATCATGTCCTCCGGGCCGAAGGGAAGATGCTTCTGCTCGCCCTTGATGGTCGTCACCAGCCGGCCAATCAGTGCTCCTCCCTGCTGTACCTCCTCTTCCTTCTTCAGATCCTGCTTCCCCTCTTCATCTTCCTTCTTCGGCTCCTCCTCCTCCTTCTTCGGCTCCTCCTCCTCCTTCTTCGGCTCCTCCTCCTCCTTCTTCGGCTCCTCCTCCTTCTTCGGCTCCTGCTCCTTCTTCGGCTCCTCCTCCTTTGGGTCCTCCTCCTTTGGCTCCTCCTCCTTCGACTCCTCCTCCTTTTTCTTCAGCTCCTCCTCACCCAGTTTCTCCTCTTTAACTTTGACCTGCAGGAAACATGACTTCAGTGTATGAAGCCCCGCCCCCTTTTAAGTCTCAGCTTCACATCATTATCAAGTTTCACAGCTTCCTCTGTCAGTAAGGAGGAAACATGGCAGAAGCATCTGATGTGAGGACATCTTTAATAACTCTGGAGTTTTTGAAAAAAAGTCAGAAAGTTCAGAAAAAAGTCAGAATTTTAGATTTTGGGGAAAAAGTTAGAATTTGGGGGATTTATTTTTATTATTTTCAAAATAAATTAACATTTTGAGATTTTCCAAATAAAATGTTGAGATTTGAGAATAAAGTCTGGATTTTGAGATTGTGAGTGTTCGTAGCAGTTATGCGGCTTTCACACCGGCGCTTTTCACTTTCTAGCTCCTCGCGAGAGCTTTTCTGGTTCAGCTCCCGTTTCCCTTTTCTGCTCCCGCTCTGTTCACACCGCCCAGAGCTGCCGCTGCTGCGTCATGACGTCACCGTTTACGTCGCTGATTTTCTCCCACAACAACAACGGGCTGGGGACTGCATCGGGTCGATGATCGTGTTGCTTTTAATCATACGAAGCCAGATTAAGTTAAATAACGACTTCTCCAACCTTATACTTTTCTCCAGAGTGCCGTGGTTCATTGTTTATTAATGTGTTTCATTTAGCGACCGCTGCAGTGCTGGCTGCTCTTCCACGAGTGTATTCTCCCGTTAGCTCCGGGTTAGCTCACACGGCTCTAAAGTATTCACTGTCTGACTGTCACACAAGCAGCTGATACATATCCCCAGTTCCCCTTAAGTGAATGTGTGTCAGTCTGAATTGACGCTGTTTGGCATCACAACGCTGTTATGAAAGTTTCTCAGGTATAACATGGGTGATGTTAGCATAGCAACCGAAGCTAAACTGACTACTTGCTAAGCCGTTTTCTACAGGCACATTTTACCGGCGTATTTTTCATTATGATTCTACTTGTGATAGTCGGACATGACAACCTGTGCAGCCCATGTATCTCCACAATGATCAATGACAGAGAACGGATGGTCAAAGTAAGGTTTCCTGCACGCCTCGACGTAAGAGACGTAAGCGACGCCGCGTCATAGCTCCGAAGCCCTTGCCTCTGGACCGACAACTTTTTGGAGCTGGAAGTGAACCGCATTCCGGAGCTATGACGCGCCGCCGCTGCGTGTGAACAGGAGAGACCGGCGCTTTTCAGGCTCTAGCTCTGAGCAGGAGCTGGAAAAGCGCCGGTGTGAAAGGGGTATTAGATGCTCTGCTATGAGAAGAACCAGAAGAACCAGAATGTATGAATTCCTCAGCGTTTTCCGTACCAGCGCCGACTTGATGTCCTTTCGAGGGTCCTTGGACAGAGCTTTGAGCACCGTGCCCTGGAAGCGCTCCCTGCTGATGTCCAGCATGGTGTCCATCTTCCTGTAGAGGAAACCCAGCGGGGTCCACTGGGAGACAAGTTACTGGTTAATGAGTCATTCAAAGAGTCATTACTGGTTAATGAGTCATTACTGGTTAATGAGTCATTTAAAGAGTCATTACTGGTTAATGAGTCATTCAAAGAGTCATTACTGGTTAATGAGTCATTACTGGTTAATGAGTCATTCAAAGAGTCATTACTGGTTAATGAGTCATTCAAAGAGTCATTACTGGTTAATGAGTCATTCAAAGAGTCATTACTGGTTAATGAGTCATTACTGGTTAATGAGTCATCTAAAGAGTCATTACTGGTTAATGAGTCATTACTGGTTAATGAGTCATCTAAAGAGTCATTACTGGTTAATGAGTCATTCAAAGAGTCATTACTGGTTAATGAGTCATTCAAAGAGTCATTACTGGTTAATGAGTCATTACTGGTTAATGAGTCATTCAAAGAGTCATTACTGGTTAATGAGTCATTACTGGTTAATGAGTCATTACTGGTTAATGAGTCATTACTGGTTAATGAGTCATTTAAAGAGTCATTACTGGTTAATGAGTCATTACTGGTTAATGAGTCATTACTGGTTAATGAGTCATTCAAAGAGTCATTACTGGTTAATGAGTCATTACTGGTTAATGAGTCATTACTGGTTAATGAGTCATTACTGGTTAATGAGTCATTCAAAGAGTCATTACTGGTTAATGAGTCATTACTGGTTAATGAGTCATTACTGGTTAATGAGTCATTACTGGTTAAAGAGTCATTACTGGTTAATGAGTCATTCAAAGAGTCATTACTGGTTAATGAGTCATTACTGGTTAATGAGTCATTACTGGTTAAAGAGTCATTACTGGTTAATGAGTCATTCAAAGAGTCATTACTGGTTAATGAGTCATTACTGGTTAATGAGTCATTCAAAGAGTCATTACTGGTTAATGAGTCATCTAAAGAGTCATTACTGGTTAATGAGTCATTCAAAGAGTCATTACTGGTTAATGAGTCATTACTGGTTAATGAGTCATCTAAAGAGTCATTACTGGTTAATGAGTCATTACTGGTTAATGAGTCATTACTGGTTAATGAGTCATCTAAAGAGTCATTACTGGTTAATGAGTCATTTAAAGAGTCATTACTGGTTAATGAGTCATTACTGGTTAATGAGTCATTCAAAGAGTCATTACTGGTTAATGAGTCATTACTGGTTAATGAGTCATTACTGGTTAATGAGTCATTTAAAGAGTCATTACTGGTTAATGAGTCATTACTGGTTAATGAGTCATTACTGGTTAATGAGTCATTTAAAGAGTCATTACTGGTTAATGAGTCATTACTGGTTAATGAGTCATCTAAAGAGTCATTACTGGTTAATGAGTCATTTAAAGAGTCATTACTGGTTAATGAGTCATTACTGGTTAATGAGTCATTACTGGTTAATGAGTCATTCAAAGAGTCATTACTGGTTAATGAGTCATTCAAAGAGTCATTACTGGTTAATGAGTCATTACTGGTTAAAGAGTCATTACTGGTTAATGAGTCATTCAAAGAGTCATTACTGGTTAATGAGTCATTACTGGTTAATGAGTCATTACTGGTTAAAGAGTCATTACTGGTTAAAGAGTCATTACTGGTTAATGAGTCATTCAAAGAGTCATTACTGGTTAATGAGTCATTACTGGTTAATGAGTCATTTAAAGAGTCATTACTGGTTAATGAGTCATTACTGGTTAATGAGTCATTCAAAGAGTCATTACTGGTTAATGAGTCATTCAAAGAGTCATTACTGGTTAATGAGTCATTACTGGTTAATGAGTCATCTAAAGAGTCATTACTGGTTAATGAGTCATTACTGGTTAAAGAGTCATTCAAAGAGTCATTACTGGTTAATGAGTCATTACTGGTTAATGAGTCATTCAAAGAGTCATTACTGGTTAATGAGTCATTACTGGTTAATGAGTCATTACTGGTTAATGAGTCATTCAAAGAGTCATTACTGGTTAATGAGTCATTACTGGTTAATGAGTCATTACTGGTTAATGAGTCATTCAAAGAGTCATTACTGGTTAATGAGTCATCTAAAGAGTCATTACTGGTTAATGAGTCATTACTGGTTAATGAGTCATCTAAAATCAAAGTGTTTTTAACATAAAGTTTTTACTAATGAACTCACTTTTCCTTTGGCTGTTGCCAGCGCGGCCGCTACCTCCGCCCTCCTCTTCCTCTCCGCCTCCCTCAGCTGTTCCGCCTCCTCTTCCTCTCTCCTCTTCCTCTCCTCCTCCTCTTGTCTCCTCCTCTCCTCTTGCATCCTCCTCTCCTCCTTCTCCCTCTCCTTCCGTCTCTTCTGCTCTTCCAGGATGGGATCCTCCACCCTCTTCAGCCTCAGCAGCCTGATGGCTCTCTTCTGAGACTTCACCTGCAGGAACAGAGGGAGGGGTCAGGGCGAGAGACCAAACAACAACACAACAAAAACAACAACCCAACACACACCAACACAACAACAACAACACCCACCAATAGACTATACCTGGGCCCAGGTGTACTAACGGCCGCCCAGGTGTACTAACGGCCGCCCAGGTGTACTAACGGCCGCCCAGGTGTACTAACGGCCGCCCAGGTGTACTAACGGCCGCCCAGGTGTACTAACGGCCGCCCAGGTGTACTAACGGCCGCCCAGGTATACTAACGGCCGCCCAGGTATACTAACGGCCGCCCAGGTGTATTAACGGCCGCCCAGGTGTACTAACGGCCGCCCAGGTATATTAACGGCCGCCCAGGTGTACTAACGGCCGCCCAGGTATATTAACGGCCGCCCAGGTGTACTAACGGCCGCCCAGGTGTACTAACGGCCGCCCAGGTATATTAACGGCCGCCCAGGTGTACTAACGGCCGCCCAGGTGTACTAACGGCCGCCCAGGTATATTAACTATTAACGGCCGCCCAGTGTACTAACGGCCGCCCAGGTGTACTAA